GGATTCTTTTAAGTAGTAGATAAATTACTTCCACACTGGCTGGTATACTGTCAGTACTGTAAGTATTTTTTAAAAAAAGTTGTGATTTATGCCTCCAGAGGGAAAAGAATACTTTACATTTAAGATTTAGAATTCTGCAGGTTAAATTTCCTTTAACAGTTTCCTTCATCTCTTCAACTAAAACAACACCGAGGAGAAAAAAGGATTTAATAAAAGATATCTACCTACAGTTTATGCTAAATCTTTTCAAAGGAAATCTGACTTTAAATGGTTTATTTCACTTGCATGATGAAATAGCAACTGCAGCATATGCTTGGTGCCTTAAAATCTGACTCAGGAACAATGAAGGCATCAAGCTCGGAAATGGATTATTCTACAAAGAGCGATACTCTGCATTACCAGTCTATTTACTTGTGTCCAGGGAATTTTTGGAATACATTTGTAGTGTTAAGTTTAGAAAGACAGGGTGGATAGAAATTCTTCCATTGCATTCATCTCAAAAGCATTCATAAGAACAAAGCACTAAACATTATTCAGAAAGACAAATCCTGAATATTACAAAAAAGAGGGAGCTGGTATGACTACTACTGCTCACCAGTGGCATATATAATCAAAAAAGGAAACACTTCAAACTGTGTTTGCTGAGGGCAGTGACCTTTTATATACACGGCTGCAGCAGCTGCTGAAGGGAACTGCACACAACATTTAAAATCCAGGAACAGTTCAACAATAAATAAAAGTTCTGGATTTTGATCCCAACTGACATGCGTGCCCTCAGTAACACTAGCCAGTTTTCTTAAACTTTTTCTCCACTGCTAAAATTGAAATAATTTTTGAATACTTTCTGAGCAGCAGACACGACAAAACACCTCTGCAACAGTCTACAAGTATTCAGCCCTCAGCTTGATCTTCCAGTATTTTTTGTTAACATTCATTTTGCTTTTCCATCAGTACTTGGTAACTGAAGGTTTAATTATTGCAGAGAGTAATATGTTGGGAAATGGTGGATTGAATTACTTGAATCGGTTGTAATTTAATCTGCCATTCATTGTTATTTTTCAATTAAGAAATTCTAAAATGTGGTTTAGCAGTGCTTGCAGTTACATTTCAACTAATAATTCAACGAAGTACATTTCATCACCCAAATGTAAGCCATGTGTTTGCATAGGTCTGGTTTTAGCTTGTGTGCATTTGGTTCAAAGAGCAGTTGTGATTTTTCTAACATTTTATCTAGTCAGTGAAAAAATCTGTAATTCTTTCTAAAATGCATGCCTTGCTGTTTGACTGAAATAAGCTTACATTTCAAATAATGATTCCTCAAGGCCTTCCTTGCTTCCTGGTTGTCCTACTCATAACATAACTCTCCTTCTTTGTTTATTATTGATCTCAGTCATGTACTACATGCAATTGTCCCATTTAATCATAATCTGATTAAAAGAAGATTAACAGATTCTGGCCTTAGTATTACTGGATCCCCACAAGTACTTCTTTATATTGATCCAGAAACCAATTATGTTCTATAAAATTACACAGGACCAGTCAGGATGTAATTAACTCCAGGACAACAGCCTTTGATAAAAATAACAATTTACATTATTTTTACAGCTTTTAAGTCATAATCCCTTCCTCTTCTTACACTTTTATTTATGTTTTCATTTATGTGGTTATCTTGATTTACACGTGAAACACTGCTGGATTATGTCTAAAATATGCCACATGAATTAATGGATTATGTAAAATATTAATTATATAAAATATTATAGAATATGTTACAAAAATAAAGGTTTCTTTTTAATTTTTAAGAAATATGCATGATCATTTTTAATCTCAACTATCACAAAGTTTATTGCACTTGGAATTCATTACCCTTTCAACTGAAAAGTTTAGAAACCAAAAAGTGAAAGTCACAGAAATACCGCTGATATTATCTGATCTCTATTCCTCAGTTGTAGCATCCCGCGTTCTCTCTGTGAATAGTAAAAAAGAGCAGTTGGGAGGGTTTTTTTGTCTTTGGGAACAATAGCCAGCCTCAGGCTCTGAGAGTCCACCCTGACATTTCATTTCTGCATAATTTATCTTTCAAAACAAAAACATCCTAGCACTGGTATTAACAATCCCATTTCTGAAAGAATTCTTCCCAATAAGAAAAGAAGCAAGTTTATTTTGAGGATACGATTGCCCATCTATTTCAGAAACAAGCGGTGTCTTCAAAAAAGTTAAGTAACTCTTTATCTTCCATAGCCATATTATCAAAGCATAATTCCAGAGAGTTCAGCATACTTTTGTTTTCTCCAGCTGGCTCCCTATCTTAACCAATGACATGATATACCTATCAAAAGGGAATTTTGAATAAACTCTTTATTCGACTGAATTGCTGGATCAAGTTTAAAATAATCTACTCAAAAAAATACTTTCCTACTTGGTAGGCAATAATTCCATTGACTGTAACCATAATTTCATTTTAAGAATACTTCTCACCCTAAATGCAAAAAAAAAAGATATATTTTTTTTAATAACAGAAGAAAGAACAAATTGATGGAATCACATCTGTAGCCTGTGCACCTCTGGTCTGGATTGCTGCAAATTGTCCTAAGGATGAAATGGTACTCCCTGAAAAAAACAAATTGCTACTAAGACTACATACCCACCTACTTTGTAGTAGAGGCAACAATCACAGTGAACAACTCACAGGCCCCAGTGGAATACTGCTGAATAAATAATCTAAGGTAAGGCCTCTGGCTTAATATTCACAGCTCTTGAAAGGACTAAAGGTTTGAAAGACTGCCTGTCCCCATGACAGCTACTTTTCACTTGGATAACGAACGTGCCTAACCCCCTGGGAAAAACTGGACAACATTCAAAGTACCCAGACTATACCATACAATTAACAACAATAACAAAAAAAAAAACAACAAAAACAAACAAACAAACAAACAAAAACAAAAAACACAAAGAGATTAAATCAGTATCAACACTTTCAAAAATTAATGCATCACTTGAGGTTAATTACACCACACAATAATTATTTCTTCCACAGATGGGTACCACTACCATTAGAAGTAGAGACATGAAGTAAGTACATTTTGGAGTTAGTCTTCAGATTCCAGAAACCCCTGATTTTTAAAGTGGGAAATTTGCCAGAACTAGCAGACCTACTCAAAAATAAAAAACATTTTCTCTAAGTGAGTAACACAAGTAGAATTAGTAATGATCTTGTGTTGCGAACTGATTTACTTCACAGCTAAATATTACTGCAGTATAAACACATTTTACTCAAGAAAGTTAAGATCTGTGTTTGAAAAATTGTTCTCAAAAGCTCCAAGTGATGCAAACCTCATTTTGCTCTTTTCATTACATTGTTCATATTCTGCATTCTAGATCTTCAAGTGAAAAATACAACAAGAGTTACCCATTACAGGGATGGATCCTGGCTTGGCTACATCAGCCTGCGGTTAGCGAATTGCTCCCTGCAGAATATGAGGGTCTACCTCATCCCCCCAGCCCTTTTCCCAGTACATACAATCCCAATGTATAAAATCCCAGTGCACAGTGTAAGCATACGCGTCATTTGCCTTTATACCAACCTGAAACCAAGACTACAGACCTCTTTAAATTATTGTAGTCATTATTTTTTATCCCAACATTTTAATTCAATAAACCAATCAGAAATGTATTTCCCATTGATAGGGGATTATGAATGGAGAACCATTAAAGCACTTAAAAAAGCAACCATCATTAATGATTTAGTCCTTTGAAATACCGATTCTTGACTGGAGATGAGTTTCCAGCATTCTTTATTATCATAACTGTACATCACTGAATAGTCTTTCCATGCAAACACCATGAAATCATGAAGAGAGAAAAGTTTTGTTTCAGCCCATGTTTTTTCCATAAAATCACCGTTCTTGTGTAGAATACAGTTCCCATAAAATAGTAGTGTACTGTGAGAAGAGTGTAAAATAGTGTATTCAGTAAGGTTGTAGCAAAAAAGGGAGGTGTTTTACATCTTTTAGACTTTTGTTATTCCTCAAAAAAAAAAATCTGGTTTGTTGCAAAGCTAAGAGAAACTAAAATTTTAGTTTTGCAAAATTATTGTTTGATTACTTAAAGATCTCTCACAGTGACTGTGACAGAAAAATAAAACAGAAACACCAGTCAAAGAGTAGACCAGTTGGAATACATGAAAATTAAAATCTCTTTAAAAAAAAAAAATCAATTCAGTATGTAGAATATTTGTGGTGGAAAAGCCTGAATATTTTAAAAGGGGAACTGCCACAGGACTTTCAACTGCTTTTTCTTTCACGGAGGCCCACGACTACGTGGGAACACAGTGACTTTTGGAAAAACTACATTTTCAGCCCCCAGAACACAATGAGACCTAGGTAACAGCACGACGAGCCTCTCTGCAGTGTTCTTGTTTTGGTTTTTTTTTTTTTTTAAATTAGGCTTCACAGTACTGTTAGGTAGGACCCATCTCTAAGAATGAAAAGGGCAGTGCAGTCTCCAGCGCCCATCCAACCCTTCATGTCTTACCCAAGATTACCAAATAAAGAGATTGTTATATTGGTTACTCCACATCAAATGAACTGAGATGACCAGCTCATTTCTTGAAGACCAGGGAAGAATTGCTTTAGTTTAATATAAGAAGAAAAGTGATGAATATAAAGTTTAGCCCAAGAACCCAAAGACAGAAGAGACTCTCCTTTCAGGAGTTGCTATTATGACTCATTTAAAAGAAATCTGTCTTATCTGCCTTCTGGTGCACATGCCAATGCTATGGATTTCACATGTGACCCATCAGCATCTCAAGACAGCATTTGCCCTCTGATATGATACTATTAACAAATATAACATTTGCATATTTGTCTCACTGTAATTGCTAGTTCACATATATTAATCTGTTTGGTATTAGAAGATAATTTCAATCAGAATTCTTAATCCAGGACTGAAAGAACTGTTTTTAAATAAAGAAGAAAATCAAAGCTTAAAACCAGTTTGCGTAACTAGGTCTAGAATTTATTACTCCTGAGAGAACAAAGATACAAAATACATGTGAAAACTACACAAAGATTTCTACAAAGTAAAAAGTAGAAAGAGGGAAAAGGGAAAGCTACAGTTCAGTGGTTACACAGAAACGTATGGCATGCATTAAAATATTGTAAATTCTTGAAGTTTTTTTTTAAGTGCAAATGGTTTTTTTAACAGTTCTCACTTGAAAAATATGCAAATTGATACCTATGTGTACACTTGTCAAATTATCAGAAAGACACCAACACAAACCTATGCATATACACATCAATATGTCTGAAGTACATTTTGTGGTTTTGTTATTCGTAGGCACTGGTTACAAGTCGGTTCAATACTCAGTTTCAGAAATTAAGTGGTAGTGCTTATAGAACATTTCTCAAATACTACTAATAAAGGAATTTTTTTTTTTTAAATACCAAGAGGATGTAATAATTTGCATTGCCATTTATAAGCATTCAACAACCGAAGAAGTATTTACAAATCATCAACCATACAGATAAAGAACAGTATCAAATACTCTGTGTAAAAAGATAAATAATTAAAATGTATATTCCCACATCACAAAGAAATGTGATCATACAAATTATGGCACCATATGTTTGTGAAACATCAAAAATAAATGTAGCACATAGATACCTCTTCTTATATTTTACATTAAAATGTACAGTATAATGACTGTAAAATGTCAATGTCACAACACCCATTGTCTTCAAACTCTTGTTTCTGGTAATAGCAATTATTATTAGAGTCTGTGTTTATAAAGAAATACCATACTTCAGCCTTGGGCTAATATTGCTCTGTGATATTGCTAAACCATGAAACTTACATACTAAAAAAAGCTATATTTTCTTTATTTTCTTTAAAATTATCTAATAGAAAGAGCTATTTGACATGCGAATATTCGGGGAGAAAGTGTGGTAGATGCAATCTGTTTCTCTGTCTAGCAAAGCATGGGTTAAAAAAACCTAACATTTTTACTTTTAGTCACAAATATGTAATTTATTAGAGAAATATTTTTTATCCATTTCAAATTTTATTCATAAACAGCGCTGTAATTTTCAACACATAATTAGGGTTCCCGCTAAAGCACTTAAACTTCCAAACCCTAATCATGTATCTCATTATGACAAATGGATCAGAAAATCTGGAACACAACAGTGCCATGGAGCTCAAAATGCTGATATCCTGTTTTGTATTCCTAGGGTAAAGAATGAGATAATTATAGCATATGGATGTATTTTAAAGGTTTGTCTGCATGTGTCCATTTTTGGTCACACGCCAAATCCAAACAAAAGTACATTATTAAAGGCAACCAGAAGTATTACAGTTAGCACAGACTAAGGCAATGAAAATTTTTTTTGTAAAAAAAAATTAAGGTGCAGAGAGAATTTTTTCTTGTTTTAATGGGTGCCAAATACTGATTAACAGTGCCAAGGAAAAGTAGTTTTACATAAAAGGAAAGACTATTAAAATCTAGAAATACCTGAATTGGATCTTTGAAATCCAGATTTTTCCTGATTACCTGCAAAAGGAGTTGGGGGTGGGTAGTTGGCTTCTGTGAGTTTACTGACGTCAGATGGTGGTGTTGGTGGTGGCGGTGGTAGCAAAGTGCTGTTAGGGCTACTAATATCTCCTTCAGCCACAAGAGTCAAGTCTGCCACATTCTCATCATCTACCATCTGTATGCCTTCAGCTTGCAATTCTCTCGACTGCCTTTTCCATATTGTTGCATTGTTTTCCTGTGCATGCGGAATCGGAGACAATGCAGTATTAAAAGGAACACTGAAAGTCTTCTGACTATGAAGTGCTGTCAAAGCAGATTTATGCTTATTTTCTGAGTGACCCATTTTCTTAACTGAATTTTCATTAAAGTTTTGTAGAGATTCCTGTTTTCCACTTGGTGATGTACATCCATCCTTGCCATCATTTTTTGAAACTCGCTTGTTGAGGCCTTTAGAGCCTGTGGGAGTAGATGAGGATGGTTCTGGTCCAGTGGGAGGTAAACGAAGAAAGTCAGGAAGAATAAGGTCTTCTTTCCTTAGCAGTCCACGTTGGTCATCTGCTCTGTTACTTTGAGCTTTGGATATGAGTTCAAAAAATTCTATTGGGGAAAAACCCAAAATTGACAAGTTTTTGTCAGAAAGTGCAATGTCATTAAAACGTAAATTTTCAGCACATTTACTTTCCATGAAGATCTTCAATTCTTTCAATGCTGCCTTGAAATAAGATCCCATGTTAATGAGGAACTTTTTCAATTGCAGCAATGTTCGCTAGCATCACTATAATTAAGATCATCAGGATTGCTATTGTAAGAGTTTTGCAGTTTAGAACAGCTGCAATTCACTGAGCCTTGAACACATCTTCTATTTTATGCAGTTAATAAATCTGTACACATACACATAGGATTTTTTTAATTCTTTATAAAAAACAAGGCTCTTGGTCTTACTGACAATGGGTGCACATTTTTATATTCTGGATGGTTTTTACCCTTCATAACCCAAAAATAGCCATGCCATTTGAAAGTTCAAAGATTCAAAATGTTGCAAACTTCCTTGTTATATTGAATTTCTCTCAGTTTAATAATATTTTATCACAGTTTAAATTCAATTCATAGTGTAGTTTTAATCCAGGATGTTATCATCACCGGGCATGATCAGATGATGATTTAAATAACCCCATTTTACTTTGTGCTGCAATGAACCAGTAGCATGCAGGTAGTCAATGACCATTAAAGGAGCCATTAGTAAAAGGGATGGGGCAGCTTTTCATTGAGTTTTAAACACAATTAGAAGTGATTTTCTGATCATGTCCTTAATGATGTCCAATGGTTTAATGTTTCTCTATATAAATAATATTCATAGTAAATCACCACTGTTCTAGAAAGTCTCAAAACTTGGCAACAAGAAGCGTATCAATCATAAGCCAAGAATTATACAACTCCTCAAAAAAGAAACATCACAACAATAAACGAACTCTTTGGTACAAAACATATAAAAATACGGAATTCTTAATATAGGGTCTCTATATATCCTAATTTCTCAGTAAGACAGCATTGAAACTATGGAATATTAAAGATGCTTAAAAGGGCCATCTCCAACAGATTAATTAAAATCAATAGTTTCAACCCAGCTTATAAAGACTGTTTGAAACAAAAGTCATTACAAAATGAAGTACAGTGTTAGTATCAGTTTTAACTTAGCATAATATGAAGTCACACACTTGCACTTGTATGACCTTATTCCTAATGTATTTGTAAAAATGATTTTTTAACATGCTTTGTCAAACGTCATGAAATCTGAACGTAGCCAAGATGGAAGCTTCAAAATGCTTCTTATTGCCAAAGTTTTGCAAAATGGCGGTATGCATATTAAAACATGCAACATTGCTAACGTGAGTCATACAAAAAAGTTCCTTTCTGAAATTTCAAACTTCATAGAACAGTTGTTTTTGGTTTTTTTTCATTAAAAAACGGTCTACAACATTTGGTATGTATTTTCCGAACTTGAACAAATTTCACAAAATTCAAAATAAAATGTGAAAGCCTCGAATTCTGAAGTTTTCAAATTATGTTAATGTTTTACTCAGCCCTAGGAAGAAAAATGAAAATATTAAAATATGGAAAACAAGTTAACAAAATAGTAAGCAACAGAAAATAATTTCAAATGTACTGATATCTTGTAATAACACATATTAACAAACATCTACTTTGCAATAAAATGTTTAACCACAGCATTTTTTTCAATTCCAGTCAGTGGACATTTATTCACAGATGAACATTCATTTGCTGTATAACTGTGCATAACCAGGTTTTGGATATGCACAGTAGGTAACACCAGCAGTAAATTTTAATCTGTGGGTAAAATATGTCCTCTGGTCTTGTTCTACTTGGGAAAAAGGGGAGGAATGTGTAGTGCTAACAAGACAGATAATTGCTTCAGTTAATGCCTTAGGGCAGAGGGTGGTATGTCAAGATTTCTACTGCTACACTGTTTTTATTCTTCTTCCTCCCATGGACATCTTTCTATAAGACAGCAAATTCTGTTACGAGTTCTTTTCCGGTGATATCATGAAAACTATTAAGATGTAATTGAAGGTAAAAACAGAACTCAGAATATACAAGATTACCTAAATAACCTCTTTGCTTATTTCTACTTCTAACCACCTCTTTGGAGCAGTTATTGAATATAAACCAAGCTTTCACTCTTGCCCATCACAGCTCCTCCACAGTCATCAGACTGTACTCCCTGACTGTTACAGAGTTCAGAAGAAAATTTTCAAAAATTCTTACCTGAGTAAGTTAGGGTCTACACCATTGTGCAGAATGCCTCTCAGTGAGTTGAAGACTTTTATGTAAAGGTGAACAGAAAGGCAAGCTTCTACATGGCTTGCAAAGGGTATCAAATGGGATATTCAACTGCAGTTGAGTAACTAATTCCTTTCTATCTTACTGGAATTAGGCAGCTTTCACTTTTGAAAATCCCACTAGGCACCTACCCCTGTCTTTGGGTATTCTTAAAATTTTACCTTCAGCTTCAAAAACTTCACAATTCAAAACATGGTATTGAACAAAAATATAAGGATCATGGCTATGATTTTCACAATGCAGTATTAAACACATGGTACCTTTTCCTACACAGATATAAAATTCTCATTTTTCTAAGACTACTTATGTTAATACGTAAACTATAAAGTTCACATACCCTCTGCTTCATCCAAATTTATTTTCTGACATTTTTTTTTCCCAATCTTTGCAATAGAGTCTTCTCTCTTTGACAGCCGGACTTCCCTAGCATTTTTTCCATTTTCGCCTTTCATTTTGATAGAATTAGACTTTCCTAGAGTTCTTCCCTCTCCCTGCATTAGAAGGAAAGTTAAGGTACTACTTAAATTTAGGCTACATCATTGTGTACATAATATGGTCTAAGTGAATAAAAAAGTTATTTTGAAAACATATTTCTCTAACACCACCACAACAAGTATTTTAATTTAATTTTGATTACTGCAAAGAACATTTGCCACAGTAGATCCCAAAATTGTATAAACAAACACAATACTCTTTATTCTGAAGAATTCACATTACCAAAAGGGCCTTTGAATTTCAGAGTAACTCAAACATTTTCAAATATAGATAAATCAATGAGACACAAAACAACAAATACAACACAGTGAAAGGGCTATTTGATTCATCACAAAGTTCTCACAAATAAATGCTGTTGACAGTGGAAAAATACCAGATGAAATAAAGTTATACTCAATCTAGTTACATAATTTGGCTGATTCAAAATCATAGATGAATGCAGCTTTTAGTATAGGATTCCAGAAGGAAACAAAAGATGATTTAAGGGACAAAAATCATTGCAGAAGACTTACAGTAGACACTTGACTTCTTGAAGTAGTTACAGTTGCACTCTGTTTTACGGATGCACCTTTTTGTTTATCTGTAAACACTGAACATAAACATACCTTCTGTAACTACAAATTCATAATTTTTTAAAAAAGTAATATTTAAGTGAAAATGATGCACAAAACAGATTTTTTGCTTTATAATTTCTCAAAAATGTACTCAGAAAATAAGTGAGCACAGTTGATATCCCTGATACTTTTCAGTCAAAACCTACCAGAATCTCCCTCTCATCTTCAAATTTTCCTAATGTTATCAAGTATTTTTAAAGATGCTGAAGTTTCATTTAAGATCTCCTAAATTTTCGGTTCATTTAGATCAAGCAGCTTTTAAAATCTCAGCTACTAATTCAGTTTGTAATTCTCAAATCTAGAATTTAAACAAGAAAAAAACATTCAGCAGAAAAGATCATTGAAAAGTCATGTTGTCGCTTTTCAACCTGCTTTGTGTATCATTTTCTAGACATTGCCATATTGTCCTTAACTTCAAAGTAACTAAACAGCTCCTTCAAATTACATCTGCCTACAACAAATATACTAACCAAAGACTGGGCTGCAAACACAGAATCATGGCCCTTTTTCACATATTGCCACAGAATGAGCCTACTGCTACAAAGATCCTCTATGATTTAGGCTTTTATAGCAGCTGGCAGCACACAGCATTACACTTTTAATCCTTAAGGTAACTGCGAGAGTATTATCTTTTTTCAAAATTGCAATTGGTTCTGTTTCCTAGAAAAATGACAAATCTGATTCTCCTCAATACCTCCATCTTTATTCTGCTAGAACTTTCCCAAAGAGGATCTCTACTCTAAGTCAGTTTAATTTAAACACATCTAAATTCATTTTTAAAACTAAGTGTTCTATATCTAGACAAAGGTCTCCTAATGAAACCAAACCTTTACTCGCAAGGTGACTTACCTTATTCTAGCATGTTAATTGTGACAAAAGATTGTCAGCTGTTCAACTGATTAACTTCGATTTTTCAAATTATTTTGTCTGAAGAAATCACAAATTATGTCCTTTTGAGTATTATCTCCAGAAATCATCACTTAAACCGGAGATGTAGGCTCTGCTACTTTCTCATGTTGAAGAAGGGTGTTATCATAGCAGTATATATAGCTGCTGTACAGACTGCATCTGTTTTATTTATACAGAATATTTCTTATGAATTAATTGCCAAATTCACAGAAGATATTTGGCATTTTATTCTCATTATTATTACTAGGCACTATGACCCTAAACGTGCGTGTGTATCTATGGCTGAGTGCAAGCACATTATTCAAGTATTAGCAGGGCAAAATTTCTTACAGCAACAGTAAACTACTAGCTATCAACAGATGAATTTAATTTTCAATCTTTAGAAACCTCACTCCTTTGTAGTTAAAAAGAATATATGCTACATGTGACATACATAAATGTAATCACATTTATCTCACCTTTGCATCAACAGAAAAAACTCTAATTAGAGTCAGGTTTTATGAAACTGACGACATCATAAATAGAAGCTTTTATGCCAACTTACCTCTACCCTTTGTTGGCTCTCTCTCATCTAGAACAACCCGCTGACCATCCAGATTAGATATAGGGACACCAAGATCAAGTGGTTCCTGCTCACCATTCTAAAGTCGGATCACAGTTTGTATATAATAGAGAAAAAGCTGTTTTCAGAACGAATATAGGTAGTTTGACATTTTTTGAAAGAAAATGAGCAAAGCATTTTTACACTTCAGCGTAGCCTCAATTTATCTTTCTTCTACCACTCTAAAAATGTTTATTTCATTTGTGTAAAACTACCTTGATGACAATGAGTTTAACCCATTTATGTGAGAGGAATGTTATTTGGGGAATAAAAAGATAAAAAGAGAAAAAAAAAAATCCAATTTGAAAGCATGCACAAATACTCTAGGACCATTCGTGTGCATGTTACTAATCATATTTTTCAGAAGAAGTTTGATATTATTTTTATTCCAAATTGGTTGTATTTTGTTAAATTTGTAATTTTATTAAATGAAGTTATTTTAAAAGCATGGACTAGGTCAACCAAGACAGTATACATATTAGAAATACCACAAAAGTAACTTTCCATTCCTCAATATTCCAGCCAAGTGTTTAGTAGTGGAGAAGTTAAATCAGTATGCTTCCATATAAATTTTCTGCAAGGGGATTTGAGGAAGCTTTCATGATTCCCAGGATAATGGAACAATAGCTTTAACTAATCTCAATCAACTTTCCCTGGCTAATATTGAGAAAACTTGATCTCTGGAAGAATCTAAATTCAGGGTCTACTATTTAGTATGTTGGATTTATTCCAAAGGAGAATATAAAACAGACACAGACTAAAGCTTTGAGGTACTTACTATTAATCGTAATGGTCATGACTACTTGTATACTTTCATCTCAACATGTAGTTATAAATACAGATTTAAATACCTAATTATATGGACAGGAATAATTCCAGGGACTATCATATGATCTTCTCCAGACAAAAAATACTGCAGCTTGAATTACATCAAAAGATACTTACTAGTCTTGCCACAAGTTCATTAAGATTTAAACCATATTTTGCAACCACAGGCCTTAACACCTCTGTTACTGGTTTGGTGGGTTTAGCCTTCAAACCAACTGATCGATTGATTGGAACAAGGTCCAGCCTGAAACACACCAATAGTAACAATAAATATTAAATATTCCAATAAACATAATGTACAAAATATTTAAAATCCAATCTACAGCAAAATTATATTAATTTACAGCTAGTGACCCTGAAACTTCACTAGCACAAACCTATCCTGACCTGAAGGTAATAAAGCACTTTTAATACAAATAAAACTTCCACTGTTTCACTCGCCAGAGCTAAGAGAAGACATAAGCCAACCTAATTGCATGGTGATCCTCAGACCAATTACATACGTTCCACAGTACTTTCATCTTCACAGTGAGATTGCTCTGACCATTCTGGTCCAGTAGCGCTTCCAAAGTGACTCCATGACTGTACTACATCTTTGGATGAAAGAAAAATATTACTTCCCACTTCCACAAGAGAGATTCACTATGTCCTATTCATTTACCTGAGATAGGCCTGGACAGGAATTTTTATTTTTATTTCTAAGCATAGGAACAAATACACTGGAATACCAGATGATGTTAATTTCTGGTTAAATGTCACCATATCACAAAAAACTGCTGTAGGAGAAACTTATAAGCAAAAGCTATAAAAGTAACTCAGTTGGAATTTAAAGGATAAAGACGGCCTTATTCAATGTTTATTATGCAATTTTGTATCATTTCATCAAAACAGCAAAAAAATAATAAAGTAAGAAATTTTTTTTTAAAACCCACACAACTATTCCATTCATGTCTATTCCCCTGCACAGAACTGTGACTAGTTTTGTTGTTTGCTTGGGTTTTTTTAATGTTCTTCATCTGTGCCCTGATTCCTCCATAATACCCACATTTGACTATAATGGCACTACAGTATGAAAACAAGGGCAGGCTTATTACTAACAAAACTATCAGAAGAAATGTGTATCATCGGAAGAAATTAAAGTTATTAGTGATTTTGTCAGTCATGATTAAATGTAAACCCCATCTTTTCTCTCACACAAATTACTTTAATACAAAATGTTTAGTTTTAATGACTTTTCCCTTCCACAAGAAGCCTGAAACTTTGCCTTTCACATTTTCTTTGACTACAACAGCTACTAAACAGAAATGATCGATTTTTATCACTGATAGATAATTGACAGAAGCGGCAGACATTCAGGTATCCAAGTACATCCACACAGTATTTGTCTTATGTCTGAATATATTCCAAATATTTGAGTATTTTTGCTTACATAGTGTCTACACACAGAAGGAAATAATGTAGAACATGTCTGCATGTTCTGTTTTAATTAACACACAAGTAACATATGGTACTGCCTACTTGAAGTTCCTTTTTAATTTGGAAACTCAAACTCACACCTAATAAAAGACTGCTCAATCTCAATTTTAAAATTGAATATGCTATGCCATATTCATTAATCTGAAGTGTGCTTAAATAGAAACTAATGCTACTTCCTAAAGAAAAGTAATATAAAGCCAAAATGATGAATACCTGACAAAATAAATTTTATTCACTTCAAAAGTGCAATGCAAACATTCTATTGCATTACTTTTTCCTGAAATAATTATTTTAGGAGTTTTCACAGCACTGGTTTCTGTTTTTAGAATTTAGGAACATTAAAACATTTTCCGGCATTTTGGAAAAATATTGGAACAGATTATTTTGAAAAAAATGTAAAATAAAAATTACATAATACTAAATATATAATACTGAATTATGTTATACCCACATTAATAATATTATAACATTGGCTTGTTTAAGATTCAGGGTTATAAATCTATACTCAGATGAATTTATTTTTATACAATTAGTCTTACTGTAACCTGCCAGTTAGGCACATAATTACCGATGTAACCAAACGGGAACATGTAATCAATAAATATATTCATTTAATCTTAAAGGCTTTTTTTTTTTATTGTTGCATTTAGGATTAGACTAGGAGATTTGCAGTTCAATTTCCGTCTCATTCTTGTGCTGCTTCAACCTACTAATCATGTTTGTTCCTGATGTGGAAGGTCCCTCTGGGCCTGCAGATCTGTCCTATACGCTTGTTGTTCACAACTGTTTCAGCTTGAGCAGTTAGACATCATCATAATATTTAAGCGTTCCTAAACTAGAACATTGGCAGCAAAATTCCATTTGTATCCAAGACAGCAATCCAGAAAGGTTCCTCTTGCAGCAATTAAAACTTACCAGGTGCTGCTCTACTCGTTTGAAACGTTCCTGTAGGCCCATATTTCTCCCATTGATCCTTACCCTGTTGCCCTCACCTGAACTACCTTTTAGAGGTACTCTAATCTCACCACTACCTGTAGAGGAAGCACTGAGCAGCTGGCTCTAAATCTAGGAGACACCAGTGGCTAAATGTAGGTAGGATATCTAATTTACGCACTTGTGTAACTCACACAATCCCCATGCTAAATGCATACCTCTTGCATAAGTGTTATTGCAATCCAAGGTAAAAATTGACTCTTTAATAGAAACTCAAACTGAGTTAACTGCAAGACATAGAAGTCAATCATTTTTGGTTACCAATATTAGGTCACCTTCCTTTCTTCCCATGAAAACTCTTTGCTTGATACTAAGCCCTATTTCTTCTAATGTGCCTATGCAATGAATGGGAACCTTAGATCCCTTAAAGCTGGACTCTGCATTACAATCTAAGATGCGCTGCATGGCTAACTGGATTTTTTACTGCATTCAGACAAATTCTTTTCTGCATTAACTGCTGGTTTGCTGCACAGGTCACTGACAATATACTTCAGTGCGCTTACAAAAAGTAAAATGGAAAATGGGGTGGAAAATGCCAGAGGAAGGTAGTGTTTTTGACTCTTACCGAAATAAAGTGCGTTTTTCTAAACGTAGGTCCCGAGACTCCAGGATGCTACTGTCTTGGTGCAATACAAGTGGCTAGAGAGCACATGACAGGAACACAAGAAAAGAGAAATTAATTTTAAAATATATTAAAAAAAACAACTGAGTGGTTAAAAAAACCTTTCTGATAAATCAGAAAATTATTAATATAGGTTGTATACATTCTGGTGGATATTCATTTACAATATGCAACATAATTAAAGTGTCTTTTGGCTACTTGTGAGACACCAACCAAATTTCAACTTCCACTGGAGTCAGCTGGTATTCAGGGACTCAGTGTTTTAAAACAAGTCTAGGTCTTTCAGTTTTAATAAATTATTACATAGAATGATGCATTAGAAAATATGACAAGTTAACAGTCTTTAAAAGATCTAAAAATACGGGCACATAATTACGCACATTCAGTGATTTTTGTCACTGTGATCATCTAGACTGATCATAAGCACAAATTTAAGAAAATAAAAAGTTTCACAGCCACAGCTTCTCTCTGAATTGGAGATACTTCTGTGGAATAAGACCCATCACCCATCACCAATGTACACTGCTGTCTTGGAAATTTTCCTCAATATTAAAACACGTACCTTAACTCTGGCATGAATTAATCTCATTCACCTTTGAACAACTGAAAGGTATTATGTTTCTTTGCTTTAATGAAGTATCATCTACTACAACACATTTGTTTTCTTTGCAGATGCTTTCATCCATTCCCCTGGATAAACTACATGGACTAGATACCTAAATTAATTATAAGGAAATCCTTGTCATAAGCTCTCTTCTGCTTCCTGTAATGTAGATACCAGAACCAATCACAGTACTCCACCAGTTCTACGTGCACTAAAGTTCTCCCTCAATTAACTGGCATTGCCAATGTAAACCTATAGGTAGAACCGGGAGATATATATTACTGTTGAGAGAACAGAATTCTTTATTAGTAAAATGAGTATGAAAACACTTTGAAAAAAAAAGCACAGGAATACACAATACCTTATCACCTCCAACTAAAAAAAGGTCCACTGCAGCTATGTTAAAGCCATGTTTCTCACAGAGCCCAGATAGCACCTCTTTGATAGAGAATCCGGATTTAACAGCCATTTTGCTGGATGAACCATCTGGAAGGTTTATACAGCAGTATTTGGTGGATTTCTCTTTATCTGGTACAAATGCAGGTAATCTTGAGGCTTCAGACTTGACAGGAAAAAGAAAGAAAAGTTAGTGGCCAATGAGAAAATTAGGAATATGCATAAACTTTTAGAGTCTGTACAAATCAAACCAAGTCAAACAATCAAACCAAGAAGCATTCTTTCTACCATGTTTACAGTTTAGAAATCCTTCCAAATACCACAAATATCAGGTAAATTTAAATCCTGAAAAAAACATGTTTAGATAAAGGTAACAGCATTTCACAAATCTAAATGTATTTCAAGAACAGACTAAGTTTTAGACAGTGTGTAAAGCCAGTTACAAGATTCTCAAACTATAGAACTGAACTCCTAATCCAAACACATAAAAAGAAAATAAAATCTTATTTAGCTTCCAAACAGTTAAGTGGCTATACTCAATAATGACCCACTGATGCAAAAATGGCCATTGGCACATTATAAATCAACACTTAAGTGATGAGGAACACGTTTAAACATCAAGTTCCTCAAACAATTTCCTCTTCTTTTAACATTATCTGAACACTATACATAAAATACACCACAGAGAAATTAAAATATTAAAATAATTCACTTAATGCCTTTCTTAAAAAAAAATTGTGGAACTAAAAGTACAATGCTATATGGGTTAAGGTTAAAGGGCAGACCACTAACCTTTCTGCTGTAGTAACAGTAGATTAGTAACACTACTAGGAAATATCAAAAGTATCTTTGAAAATTTAACAAAAAGCTCACTTAGAACTTTAAAAAGACACTACAAAAATACTGTTTTCAACAATCTTTTAGGGTACTAATCATGCTTTTTCTCTTATCTTTAACTTGCTGCTTCTCATCCAAATAATAATTTTCTGAATTAATCAGTTGGAGTAGGAAAGAAAAGAGGGGTTGTTTCTTTAGGGGGGCTTTGCATTTTCTGTTTTTCTAAGATAACACTTTCCTGCAATAGAAATAAACATGACTGCCAAACTTTCTTCCCTGATCAATATTTGTAGCACAGGCAAAATTACACCGCTGCTAGAATCTAGTCTACAAGAGGGATATCAAGAGTACAAAAAAAACTTTAATTTTTTTTTTACATATTTTTCCTTCTTATCAATGTAGTTAAAATAAATTTCAAGTATTATATCTATGTTTTATGATTAATACTGTTCTAATTTTGCATTTCATTAGTTAGACACTGCAAAAGTAGAATCTAATGGTTAAAAATCAAGTGCCTTCACTGAATATTTTCCTACATACTATGACAAAATTACAGTGTTTGCAATGAAATTCCTTCGCTCTCTTTTCTCACATTTTAGAAGCAGAGTTAAGTCACCATGACAAGAAGAAAAACTCACAACTTTAAAAAAACAGAGAGGAAAGAAGCACAACAGACACTGGTACCACGGAAATTTTATTCTGGAAGTTTATTGGTGCCTGAAGTTAAGACAGACAAGATGCAAATGATATCTTTCTCTTCCAAGGACAAAATAAGAAGCAATATATGAACACAATCTCTATTAAGTTTCTAATATTCTATAATTGCTTAATATTACATCTTACCCTCTAACTGTATCACTTAAAGACCCTTTCTAAAAGGGTCTTTACTTCAAACATGTAACTATTTCAAACAAATTACTTTACACTACTTGGAAAATTAGTAATTCACTGTTTACACTGCTTCCCCACTTCTTCATTATTAAGAGACAGCCATTACCAAGTCAAGACTAGCAGTTGATGACATGGAGCCTTGTGATTCCCGTCTGTATGATAATCCATTGGACTGAATAGAATCTGTTTGTGGAAAGAATCAACAATCAGTAAAAAGGCTTACTTTTATTATTTATTACAGAAATACAGAAAACAATTTCAAATATTATCTTCTGTGGTGAGAACAATAATTTTTTTCATTAAAGGAAAAAACACCACATCTTCATACTGTGCACTGAAGCATGGAAAACCAAAACAATATTTGGTCAAGTATTTCTTGGTTATGTAACCCTTGAATAACTGCTCTTGGTTTTATACTAAAAGAAAAAAAAAACACACCAAAAACCAGCAAAAATATTTTCTTTCATCTTAAAATGTTTTTAAAAATTTAAAAATTATTCTGCCTCCAGATATTTTTGAAGGGAGGTATTTTTAAAGTGTAAGTATGGTATTAGAAAACTAAAATCTAAGACAATCACTAGTCACATTCAGAACTTTAAGTCTGATGCAAATGCCTCTGATGTCTTTTGACATACAAGTAGAATGAGAACACTTAAACTATTCATATGATCAAAGATATCTTGTGGGTCTGGGCCTTTTCTAGAAAATAGAGAAGAAGAAACCACAGTAACAGTATGGTCCAAATTTGGTGCTTCAGTGGAATTTCTTTATTATTTTTAACTCAGTGGAATGAGTTAATTCAAAACTTTCACCTCTTCCTTTAGAGGCCATGTACAGATGCTTTCACAGGGAAACTTCATGAACAGTTAAGTAAGAAAACAGCAGATTTCGAGGGTTTTTACAGCTTTGACTCTTCTTTTTTCATTTTAGTCAGGAAAGGTGGAAACAGGTGTGTTCAAAAGTGAACATACCTCTGTGGTACTAACAGAAGAAAGAAAGGTAGAATAATGCAGATGGAGGAATTTTTAAATAGCTGTAACTACAGCATTACTTGCATGTATAGCTCCTGAACTTCTCTGTAAAGAGTTGAAATTATCTTACTATAAATATAGTAGCGCTCTGCTTGAAAAAGCAATTGCCAGCACACAGAAATGCAGAGTCTACTGTAAAGCAGAAAATAAGTCTCTTGGAAATCAGTAAAAGCAAATTCAAATATTTGCATGCTTTTATCTATTTATTTGTACATCTCCTTCCACAAAGCTTCCAGTGATACTAGCCCTGCTATGGCCTTCTAACTTGACAGTTTCTCTTACCTCTGTCACACCCAAGGATGTACTGAGATAAAAATTAAACATAATGAGATTAGTCACATCTATTGCTGAAACAACTCTGCAACAAAGTGGAATGTGAATACTCACCATTTGGATAATCACCATTTTCTTTTCTCTTCTGTGATTTTCCCAAACTCTTACTTCTTGACCATGAGAAAAACGTTCCCCTTTTTTTCTTCTCAGTGTCCTCCTCTCCTGACTCTTCATTTAAAGATCTTCCTGATTTTGATTTACCACTTAACTATCACCAAAACACAATTAAATAATTGGTTGAATCACAGTTGTAAGCATATTATCTAAAATAAACCTTCCCACACTTCTTCCTAAAATGACAGTGTGATGGTCAGGTCTTTTTTACCCCACTCATAAGTGTATATGCCAGCATGCCTCTCAGTAGCAATCAAAAAAAAAACCCCTCAGCGGAAACAAAAAAAAAGTACATAGATGGAAATGTGCTACTCGGTAGAGAATACAAAACAGTAACTGGAAACAAGCCACAGAGAGCTCCTGCAAACATGAAAGAAGTCTCCACATCTCACCACTAATGCCTAACTTAATGTAGAAAGGCCATTTGCCTTGCTTTTAAAACACAGAATGACATTTTGTTACGTAAGATACTGTTCCTAAGCTAGGATTGAACATGAACTGCATTTAACGACAGTGACAAAATACTGTTTAACATATTCAAGTATAATCAAAGTATTTATTAGTGGTGAAGAATATAAACATCAAGAATGTCACTAAACTTGTTTTATCAAGCTACTATTCCTCTTAGGTTATTGGAGCATTCCTTAAAATGCTACTTTTAAAAAGGTTCCTCATCATAAAAATACATAATAGCAGATGGGCTAATGTGTAGTGATTGACATGAAAAATGTGAAGTTATAATTCACCCATACAGTTATATAATACTATGGTGGTATTATCTACATGAAGAGAAAATAAACTCTAAATAATGTTGTGAGATCAGTAAGACTACAGGTCTAATTTTTAAGCAACTGTATGGGGTTTACACAGAATTATCTTAGTTCAGTAGGGGCCAAGAAATTAAAAAAACTATCCTCTGCAAAGATGAGTTAGATTGGGTTAAGCCTTCTCCAATAACTTCTGATAAAATGTCTGCTCTTGGCAAAGGCTGAAATATCACATCTTAATTCCAATATTCAATCAAAACAAGCTTCTGCACTGATGCATTAAAATAATCCTCATTTTTTATTTGACACATATATAAATATCAACAAAGATTTAAAATTAGGTTTAGGAATTGAATAGCTAGAAATGAATCAAATGTATGGATTTTAAAAAGCAAGTATTTTCCTGATTACATAAACATTTTCTAATTATATTTCCCAGCACCACTAAACAAACACTCTAATTGTTTTTTACACATTATCTTTGATCTTCTAAGGAACTTGAAAACAATTATTTAAGAACATAGTTTTCAGATAACAACAATACAAAGGTCACCTTTTTCGGTGTTGAGATATTGGACTTCTCTGAACTGATACTGTGTTTAGAAGTCGGGCTGCTGGGAACACGTTGAGGATCAGGAAGAGGACGACCTTCTACTTCAGCTAAGATGCATTCTTGGTAAAGGGGGGATTTCAGAAAGCGAGTATAGCTATCAAACTTCATCAAGTTAAATATCTGAAATTAAAATGCAATGGATAATGGTTACATAAGCTTAAATAACACATTAAGAAAATGAAGCTATTTCACAACAGTTTAGGACATTAACCTGTAAACAGAAGTAGGCATGACTTTGTTTAGACCTGGTTATATACACTTCACCAATTTAAAATGAAACGTAGTTTGATCTATCCCCTTAGCACAGAATTCAGAAAAACTCAATGAATTCTGCAAAGTGCATAAGCAGCTGAGATACTGTAGAGTCTTGACAACACCATACTCCTCATAGCCATCTTTTACTGCATTTCACCTTTGTATATTCTATGCAAAGCGCATAGCAAGCTAGCCATTTAAAATATTTTTTAGATTATTACATCAGTACTATATAGGACATAATTATATAAGCATGTTTTAAGGCTGCTGTGAACAAGAAGAAAGTTTATGGTCTAGAACTCAGAAATATGATGTAATCACAATATTCAATATTATGCAATGATACTAGATATACAAGATAATTACTGATACAGGGAGGAGCATTTACAGTATTATGTAATGTTCATGTGTCCAATCATTTAGAAAAAAAGATCAATATCTTTAGAAAATTCAGTAATCAAGGTGATGTAAAATCAAGACCTTGAAAAAGAACAGGTTACATACAATGGCTGCGCTTGGCAAGACCAACATTTATCTTTACACAGGAAGGAATCAGCTCTATACCGGGCCTGGAGCAAACGTCCATTGCTAATTTAGCCAAAGCTAGATTTATGAAAGTAAAGGAAGAAAAATTCTTTCTTAAATGCTAAACAATGTTTGGATTTTTTGTTCCTTTTTTGCAAACCTATAGTTTTAAGTGAATTCACACTTTCACCTTTGTATCTTCTCCCGTGATTCACTTGAGCTGAAAAAATAGTATGAATGCCACCTTCTCTGGACGTGACAAATTCCCTACAAGTGAAGAACAGTATGTGCCACCCAACTGGTTATGATATTCCCAAGAGTCTACAGGGAAGCTCATCACTAAGCCACAGTGGTTCAGTTGCCGATGGAAGTAATTTCTGATTGTGCAGAGACACCCTTCTCAACAAGCATTAGCCCAAAGCTTTTCCAGCAAACAGCAAAGTGCTGCACTGTCACAGAAACCTAATTCAACTGAATGCTGACTTCTACATTCTTGCCTGCCACCAAAATACATTCTCTTTCCCTCTTAGGTGCTGCCTGTCATGTTTGTTGGGCCCTCTAACAAACTGTTTTCCACCTGGTAAGCTATGGAAAAAATACTTCTGTAGGGTTAGTTTTGCCAGCTTAATGTGCTGAAACAGCTCAGTACAAAGACTAATGTGCCCTCAGTGCAGTGCCAAAGAGACAGTCCGGTGTCCGTGACTCTTCAAGAAGGGAAATCTCACCCTCATGCCATGAAAGATACAATCCTCTAACCACAGGTACACTGGCAAACTTCAAAAAGTCAACTAGTTTCAGAGCACACATAATCTTCAGGTCAAGGCTCAGCAAATTTTTCAGTGTACACAAGGCACACAGGTCAGAAATGTTTCTTGAGTTCTGTTGAATTCACAGAGTAACACTGTGGTGTATTGCCAAAATAGCATAAAATACAGATGAGCAATTACAAGGTATCAAAACGTCTCAATCTCACTGACTCATAGGTGAACTGCTGATACAAGGTTAGTTATTGGGGGAAAATAGAAGTGTAGTCTACATACACCAAAACAGATGTAAAAAACGAAAACTGAAAAATACAAAATACTTCACCTGTCCTTGAGGTTTTCAAGGAAATGAAATGTATAGAGGTTACACTCAACAAATCACAAGCTAAATGCAATTTGTACCCCCGAAGTATAAGACACTATTTTACCATGCAGCTGACATACAGCAGGTATTTAAATATCTTATATTTAAAACAGTTTCAGGGTGAAAACCAAAGCTTTTCAGAATTGTCTAATGTCATAAAATCTAGCACCAAAAGAAAATAAAACTGTTATTCCATGCTGGGTTGTTCTCCGCAATATTTTATTTTATTCTTCCTAAGAGATGCAAAGACAGTTACAGCATAGATGAAGCCTGCAAATTAAATATACTTAATGCAGCAAAAACTTTCCAACCTTTTAATTTTGCTGGTCAGAGTGATGACAGCTTAACTACTTTATCTTAAGCTGATCATCATCTGCCCTACCACATTGCTAGCCCACACTACCTCCCGACAATTTCCTACATTTAGCATTATTACCACATTAATTTACACATTAACGACTTCTGATTATTGCAAAAATCTAGCAGATGCTATTTCCTGTTCTTACAAATGAGAAATATGGCTTATAAAAGCATAATTTGAACTTTACACTAAAACAAGGGTAGAAAAACTCATATCCATTTATGCAACTCTGCATGTAGCAAATTATATTTTCTTCTTATTTTCAAGTGACCTACACTGTCTTGCATCCAGAAACACTCAAAATACTTGTTCTCATTCTATTCTAAGAAACAGTGAAACCCTAACTAGACATTTTGGCTACATCCACACTGTCATATTACAACACCTTTAACAACAGGCTCAAGGGCAAATTTGTCAGGCTATGGACAGAAAGCAACTTCCAGCAGCATTCCCAACAGGCTGTGCTTGAGAGCTAATGGTTTCAGCAGTGCTTTCCAAGGCGCTTTCCCACACACACTTCCGAAACTCCACTGCAGCCTGACAGCAACGCTCCCTATTCCCCAGCATCACGTAACTCTTAACTGATGGCCACCACAATTCAGCACCCTTGCACTCTATGCTTGGTGCTTAAATCTAAAAAAAAAATCTTGTGAAAGACCACAAATGCAGAGACTTCACATTATTCATAGGGTGTCGCCATGGTCAGCTGAACTTCTAAAGTCTGTGGGTGTGTTGTGCTCACTGCACACACCTACAGTTCTGTGTGCCTGAGGTCATACCACCCACCAGGACCACAAAAGCGATCCACTGCAGAACTGCCACTTAGTAAAACCAAGATATTAAGGGCCATCAAGGCAGTTGATTACACAGGACTGACCTCAGCCAAGCAACACACCATTAGTACCTCATCTGGCACACCTAGCTCCAAGGGCGCTTACTTTAGCAGAAGTAACTCTCATCCTGCTTCACCTAATTTTTCAGTGGGAGGAATGGGCCTGATTGAGGGATCTGATGGGAGAACCAGAGAGGCACTGACAATTTGAGATAAGCAGGTCAGTTCCAGACAGGCCAAATGGCTGGGATCAGACCCACAGCAGCACTTTACAGCAGCATTTTCACCCACCTTATGAGCCCTCCAACTCAAGGACAGAGCATTTTCAAAGAAGGAAGAAAACTTGCATCAGCCCAGACACTTAAGAACACCATCTGGTCCACCAAACAACTGAGAGAGGATGAAGAGGAATTCAGGCATGGGCTCCACAAAGCCAAGATCAATGATGCATGAAAAAACGTCTGGGGAGATCATGGCTGGTAATTCCCACAGAAGCCTCAGGCCTTGGTAGGTGCAAGGGGGATAGCTGTAATGCCAAGAGCTGTCAGACCTACCTTCCTATCCCCACTTCACAGACACAGGAAGATACTATGCCCAGCTGCTCAGATTACCCCAAAAGCATGTGATCTGAGGTTGCATGAAGACTGTGACCTGCTTCATTTATGCAGTTAAAGCTATATCCTTGATTTCTAAATAACACAATCTCAAAATTATTTCTACTAATCAATTGTTAGAGTAGAGAATTACTAAAGAGATTATTTAGGAGAAAAAAAGAAGAAACAAATTCTACAGAAATGTAAAGTGTATCCTGTTGTTATGTAACTGTTCTGTTTTCAACATCAGTAATTGTTTAAAATACATCCAAGGTCCTCAGACACCAACAGTTTTAACAAGCTCTTTGTCTGACAGTTCCATTAAAGCATAAGGGAAGGACTCCTCTAATACACCAACATATTTCACAAACCACTTTAACCAAAATTAGACACTATTTGTGTACACAATTGTCCACTAAAGAAAAGAATAAGCAACCATATGCAAGCACCATATGCAATGGTGTTACAGCACATGGAATTATTTACTTGCGATAAACCTTCATTTCAAGAATAGCATTTTTCAGATTTTTTTTTGTTAATGGCAATTTTCTACACATATGCAAATGTACAGAACAAGTCAATCAGCTTTCCATTATATATTCTTTTTCTATTCTGCTAACAGAATCTATATGATCTTGTCTTCAATGTCTTTTTATACACACTAAAATATACAGCATGTGAAACTAGTTTTATAGATTTTAAAGTACTTCAAAAGAAAAGATAATAGACATAAATGTACAGTAGCACGTTTTCTATGGTTACCTGAAGTTGTTGTTCCTTGAACATATCTGGATGAGGGGAATTGAGTATATCATCTGCCAACTGTGCCTGGCTATCAATATTAACTGGGGTCGTAGCTTTGCTACACAAGAATTTACTGAAGATCTCCCGAGCTCTGTAAGAAAGCTACAGAAAAGAAATGCTAAATTTATGTTTGCTTTAAAACCATATTTTTAGACAGGCATTTCTTACATTCCACCCAAAACTACACAGCCATTCCAGTTTTCTTAATATATAAGCACTTTCCATTTAACAGATTTTGTTAGTTTTAGGCATATAAATAGGGTTTTTCCTTTAAAACTACAAATATTCATCAATTATTTTTTAAGCAGTAAAAGTTGCCATCAAAATAAAAAATAAAATAATCAAACTGAAAATAATAAAAGTGAAACATATCAAATGCTATCTTGTAAAGAAGAATAGATTTTTTTAGATTTTAGACCTTTTACACAACAGTTACTATTTAAATAAATCCTTTAAGCTTCAATTTCTAGACATTAGAAAAAGGTAAGTATATATATGAATATTTACAGTCAAAACCATTCATGGTCTATTTTTAACTTGTTTACTCTGAAACACCTAAATTCTCAAAATAATGAAAAATACCACCAAACTGAGCTCAGAGGCCTTAATGGTGGTGTTCAGAAAATAGATTGTTTAAAAACAGAAGAAAGTGGGGAAAAAACCTCAATGGTCCACAAAAGAGCAAAGAAGGACTTGTAAGACTAAACTCTTTCCACAGTGTAGAACTGACTAGATTTGGCTGTGGTGTACAAAGAAATGTTGCCAACCTGCACAAGATTCACCAAAACTGCCTGACCAATGTGGGAATATCTTAACAGGATGAGATGGAGAATCTCATAATCTGTGAACAAACATGGCTACATTTCTGGCACCAGATACATCAGAGTTAGTTATAAATACATTACCTTGGCTAGTGGAGACAGTCTAGCTGAAAAAGAGACACAGAGGCTAATTTTTGCCTCTCATTGACAAGTTAAATTAACTTGCTCTGCACTCCCTTGCACTGGGATACTGCAGCTGGGGATTTTTCAACATCCAGTATACCTTAACTCATTTTTACAGAGCTACCTCTGCACTTCACTGCAGTCTAAACATATCCAACATCTTAAACTTGGGACAGTACTCTCGGGGAATGGAGAAAATTAGACTGAGGCTCCAAGCCTGTCTTAGTGAAGTCACAGTACAACGAGCAAGCACAGTTCCAATAATTTCAATAATGTCGAAAAAGTAACAATTTTTGAAAAAGCAACACCATGTATTGAAATATAACATTGACTTACTTCTTTTTTATCATGTGCAGGTACATGGTTAAAATATTCACAGGCCTGCCAAAATAAAATATTTTCTTCACTAAATTCTTTCCGTAGAAATTCCTAGAGGAAAAATAAACAAACAAATGTCTCAAAGAAAAGAAGTTACTTGCCATTTCAAACAAGAGACTTATAATGCTTGATAAATTTGCATATTGGTAACATTTCAATCAGCCTCATGATACAGTTTTATTCTAAAGTAAAAATCAACATTTGCCAAATACATCCCTAGTGTTCTCCTCTTTCTCATTTCTTTTTAAATGTATACAATTGAGGAGAATCCATCAGGTTACAATCAAATCATTTGCATGTACAAAGTTTGAAACTTCACATTAAGTAGTGTATAAACTAGTGAATAAACTTTTAATAAAAATTTAAATAATTTATAACTACATTTAAACATTGCACTGTAAACCAGCTGTCTTTAATTGCAGTTCTACTAGTATAATAGAGTAGATGTTTATCGAGCAGTGCCCGTAATCAATTCTGTATTCATTACAGTGTCCTTCTGCATCACATGGCAACTACAAAAAAATCTTTTATAGCTCCTTGCTGATGAGGTTACATGGGTTCTCCCTGGAAAATACATTCTTAGAGGAAGAAAAAAGTCTCCCAGTACAACACACAATAGTCAGGACATTTATATTATAGTATCCAAAAGTCCAAATGAAGACTGGGACCCCATTCAGTTGGGAAATTGTACAACCACAAACTGTCCCTGATTAAAATCTGTATAATTCAATATTCTCTCAGCATACGTCTCCTGAGGCATTTTAACCACTGGGGGCAGAAATTAACTTGGTACTCAGTCTAGACACTCATGTAATTGGAACAATGCCTGTTTGTATTTTAGAGCTTTAGGTATCAGTGTTAATTGGAAATTTTATTTTAAGTCTGCTCACAAGCCACAACCTTCACTCAAGTGTCACACTGGTATCATTCAAGCTTCCTTAACATACAAGGCAGTCTCAGAAAGCAGTGTAAGAGGAATCACCACAGAAATAATTAAAACAACTTTACTTGTGCTTTTAAGATTTACCTAGAGTTTAGGGAATCCAACTGTAAGAAAGCAATTGAGATAAACAATCCAGGGAGTGTGAATTCACTAGCAAGTCCTCAATTTTAACTGGAAGTTCTTCAGATACCTAATCTGAGACACCAAATGTATAAAAGACAATCCAGAGAGTAGTCAGGGTACTACTGCATTTTACATTTCTGCATTTTACATGTAATTACAGATTAAAAGAGAATCAAATTAGCTAGCAGGAACTGGAACCCAACTAACTTCCTACTTTCCCACTCAGGGCCTTCACTATAAATCTACAGTCAGTCTCCTGCCTGCTTTCTTTCTGGCTGCATGATCCAGGCACAGCTGGCTGTACAAAAATTCAGCTTCATCAGGAAGACTGAGTGGTGCCCCAGTTGGAACATTATGTAGCCTCGCAGTTGTCACACATGGCTGGGAAGCTGGGGATGTTGGTTTGAACCTCTTCAGGAGGGAACTTGCAATCAGGTGTCTCACTTCCTGGATGACTGCTCTAATCAGCAGACTATTATGCAAAATGTGAGTATTTGCAAAACATGCAAAATCTGTTCTTCTTAGAGAGTAATTCCTGCTCTGTGACAAAGCTGTCCTCAGGAAAGGCCTATGCATGCTGAATCCCAAATGTACCAAGATGCTCACCACGTAATCGTGAATTAAACGCTGACGCTTCAATGTTCTTGAATACTGGCAGAAATCTGTAACTACAGTGTTATGATAGCCAGGTTGCAAGCAAATCTAAGCAGTGGCTCTGGATCTCTCCTAGGCCTCAAGAAAATGGTGGTGCACACAATGAATTTGAACATTCCCTAATTTTTCTTTAAATTGTGTACTCCTTTAACACATGCACTTTTGCAATGTTTGTAAAAATAATTCCTAATTAGAATAAAATGGGGTGAAAAGGAAAATTTCTTGAATATCTGAGGTTGCCTTTTGCTGAAATGAAATGTAACTTTAACCTTCTAATCTGAAAAGACATTAGCTACTTTCTAAGTATTTTAAGTTTCAAACTTTTATAGTACTGTAGCAACCTCTTAAGTGTACCTAAGCAAGTTTACTGATGGCTTACAAGTAATTTGAAAAGACTAAGCACTCGCACAAACTTCAGCATTTTGCAGGTGGACTCTTAACATCAGATCAGAATTGTGATTTTTTCTTTCAGTCTGACAAAAAGTCTCAGTATCTAAGCAGAAATTCTAATAACTGCAAGGCTACACTGCTGAGAAAAACTGAGAGACAGGGAACACAATATCCAGGATATATTATTGTGCTTTCATCTTCTCTGTTTCCTCAAACGGGGTTAACTGTTAATGTGGTTTTTAGGTTCCCACACCAGTTAAGATGGAAGTCTACTTATTAATCATTTTGGTATTTTAATACTTTGTATCAAGTAATGGAGTCTTTCTGAGTTACTGCAGATTCAAATAATCGACATCTCCTACACCATAGGTTTCTTTATATTCTCTTTGTGAAAATTATTTGGGCAGCACAAACTGTGCTTGTGTAATATATTCAGAATCAACAGCATGCTCTCAGTGCAACAATGCAAAAGTGCATACACCTCAATTTCCTTACATGTAAAATAGAGATGATGCTCTTTACAACTTCATAAATGTGCTGTGAAGAAGCTTAATTTATGCTTTGCAAATACTCAACACTATCCCTGCACGCTGCAGCTTTAACTAGTGCTTTGAGCTACCTTAATTACTTCAAAAAATATTTCTAAAAACCTTTTGCTGGAAGATAAGCCACTGTATCATTGACAAAATCTTCTACACGGCTTCCAACGTTTCAGGAGGCAAATATGAACAGACTTACCAGTTCTTAGGTAACTACTAAAACTACTGCCCTTTTCCTGTACAAAGGTTACAAATACAACAAAATGCAATTGTTTTACAAAATAAGGAAGCTTTCTAAAAGTTCAGATACAAAGCAAAATATAGCCTCCATTTTTATCTGAAACTTTTGCTATCTAGAAATGCAAGGCAATATATGTTGTATTATGAACTCTTATTCAACTATGAACCAGTTTTAACTTAGAAAGATGCTCAGATAAAATCTATGGGAAAATGAACTCCTATCTCTTGTAGTTAGAACTGCTGCAGCAGTATCGCTTACTTTGAAAGGCCTCTTACTGTCCCTCAAAACTTACCGAAAAATACTTAACACCAATGGGATCCTGAAGAAGACGCTCAAAAGAAACAGCCCAGCTTGCAACTCTTCTTTCTCGAAGTCGTCGACAGCTCTGTACGCTGGGAAGACTAGCATTGCTACTGAGGCTGTTTTCACTGATGCAGTCTTTTAAATCAGTACTGTTCAGCTCTATTAAAAAAAAAAAAAAAACCCAACAAAAAAACAACAAATCTGTCAATAAAGTATTATTCACTTCTACTCTTCAGCACTGTTTACTTGATTTATCACACCTCCTGCTCAAGCTCAGTAGTGCAGACTTCAAAATATCCCTCCCCATTTTAACTAGGAGCACCTGCATGAAAAAAACAACCCCAAACATCTCTCAATTTTCTTCTTCCACTGCAAAGAAAATTAAATAGTGTCTTAAAAACAATTCCGTGCCAGAAGCAAGAGAGGCAGGCACAAAAGGAAATCTTTTTTTTCCTCCACATAATAAAATATTTTAGAGATAACCTTTCTGCTCACATTCCTCACCCCATGGACTGCATTCCTTCATAAGATTATCCAAGGAAGGTAGACTTTCAAGAAACCCCCCCCCCATTCACCAGAAAGTGGCAAAAATTATTTGGTGATAGGAGACAGCAAAATTTCATATGCTCTTAAATCAGTAGAGACAGGGACTCTGAGAAGTTTTTCATGAAAGTGAAAGATTCCTATTAAATACTGAAAATTTAGGAAAAGAATCAACTGAGTAAAAGAATCCTAAGGAAAATGAGCTAGTGATGGATGCCTTCCCCCATCCACGGCAAGTAGAAGTATCAAACCATAGATCCTCAATTTATCACGGTTTCTGATAAAAACAGGGATCTGTTTTTATCTGACTTAAGCCAAGATAGCGTAATAATCTGGGTACACCCAAGCTGAGAAATGAATAGATTCTTTAAGAGTATTTTCTGTATTCTGAAAAAAAAAATAACAAGAACCTATAGAGAATTCAGCAAAGCACAACCTTGTGTAGCTGCGTAACTAATAATTTTAAGTATTAACCCCAGAGCATCTTTGTCACATACTAGTAAACACAATAAACAGAAAAAAGTTCTTAAAGTGACCAGTTGTTCACAGAAGTGGAAAGGTGAAAGAAATGGCTGCTTTAAGTGAAAGAGGGAACTGTATACAACAAGGTCCTATTCACAAACTTGTCATTTATTTTTTGTACGCCCTTTTACAAATCACCACTCTCTCCGTCTCTTGGCTTACACAAATGTAAAACTGGTATAGTTGTACTCAGATACACCCTTCACAGAGCTGATCTGAGGTTTAATTAATTGAGAAGACACAGGTAAATAAATCCCTGAGCTACCTGGTCTGATCTCACAACAGATCCTGCTTTGAGCAGGAGAGGTCGCACTAGAGAGATGACAAACTGAATGAGATTGTGATGAAGGGATAAATAAAAAAAAGCACGCAATAAATTCTTTGAAAAATTAGCTGTAATAGATGAGAAAATAATATCCTCATAAAATGATATCTTCAATAATTCTATGCCAAATGGAAAAGCAAATATGCAGCTTACTATAAATGTAAACTGATAGAGAAAACTGAATGCACAACCAGTAAGATCTGGCTTATTCTTCACAGCAACATTTTTACTGCTGTTTATTTTCGTCAGTTAATCACCTGGACTAACTAAGAAGTAATTACATTAAAATTACTGCCTTATAAGATCTCCCAAGTTCTCTTTTTCTGTTATATGTCAAAGCACTTTGCATTTCCAAATTCTGTGTTACAAAACATTACTGTTCCTCCTTGGAAGTATGAACTTTGAACAAAAAAGACCATTCAGAAATAGTTATAAGCATAGGAAAAAGTTATAAAGATAGTTGTAAAGATAAGGAAAAATTATTTTTAAAATAGTTTTGAAACTTCATTTTAAAATGTATTCTGTAGCTCAGAAATATTTACTATGACATAATAGTTAACTAATGCAAATTTTTTAAAGCAAAGCTCTTATTTAAGGTAAAAACAAGACAAGACAAAGATACAGAATTAGGTTAAGGAAGAATGAAAATGTAATTTTTTATTTTCAACAAGGATAATATTGAAGGACCATAATAACACATCAGGTTTATAAATATTTTTTCTTTGCCTAATCATTATATTAATCAAAGTTAATTAAAACATTCAGCAAATAATGCCAACTTTTCTTAGAACAAATATTTATTCACTTTTTCTTTTAAGACATATGAAATAGCAATTCCAAGTCAACGGTTAGCTTCATTAGAGAATACCTGTCACTGCAGTGAAACTATTGTGAAAGAAGCTAATGTGAATCTGAAGAGAATGAGACCTAAATATATGATCTGAAGTATTTTGCTTTAACTCTGCAGGTGGATATGTTTTATTTTACAGTCCAGGATATAAATAGACACCCACTTCTTGATAGATCTGGAACAGTTTCAGATATTGCTTCACTCCTAGAGGGTTCAATCCCCAGCGTTCGCCAGTGATGAGTGATAAAAATTTCCTAGTTCCTTTCAGGCAAAATCAGAAAGCTAAACTCATACCACATACCAAACCTTTTAAACCTACTTGGCTGACAGAGGGAAATTAGGGAGTGGCCACGCCAAGTGTTCCACTCTAAAGCCACAAGTGGCAGTGCCTTAGGACTCAGAGGGCACAGCAGTCATTAGCAGGTCAGCTACACCTTCCTCCCTCCAAGTGGCAGCTCTTTCAATTTCCCCATGGCAGGCAGCAACACCAAACTGCAATTACAGTTTCTGAGTGTTTACACCAGTGGGTGACTGCTAACTACCTTTAATTGCAGGCAGCTGCTCACTCTCTCCAGCTTGTCAGAGTTACATTTGCTCTAAACCACATTGGGTTCCCCTTCCTCTGATGCGCTTCTAACTCTGGAGGTCCCATGAAAACAAATGAACCAAAATAAGCCTGCATTTTCAACAACTTTGAGAGCTACTGGCACAGGTCCTCCAGTGTGTTAAAGCAACATTAAGGGATTACTTATTCACAGTAAACTGCTTCTGTTCTGGTGGATTTCATTTAGCTAATTCATATTTTTTCAGAAAGAGCTATCTGAATTCATACTTAAACCTGACACTGTTTTCCCTTAAAGCAAAAAATGCCTTCAGTTTGCTTTTAAAATCTGTACAGATTTATGCTGGGGTACCTGTCAACCTGAAAACAATACAAAACAAGGTTGTTTCCCAGAACAGGCTTGGTTATTCTAGTTTCTTTTACCGCATAGATCAACAGTTGCAATTAAAACAGTTACAGCCTACTGCAGGTATAATCAGAGAAAAAGAAAGGTCAGATGGGAAGAAAAAAACCTCACCAACACTAGTGCACAATTTATCCAAGTCACACTTAAATGAAGACTGTATAAGCTGCTCTGCTCCTCTTGCAGACGAATGTTTCCAATGTAAGACTTCAGTGTCAGGTTTCCTGACTCTCACAACTCTGCATTCTTAGGTACACACAGCACACCTTGGAAAGCAGGAATGGAGAAACTTTCCAAGTGAGTCATGTATTTTGTCTGATGAGCACTCTCTGATAATCATTAAAGTAAACTTAGTGCCCTGATTCCCACCCTCAAACGTTCTAACTGCAAGGCTGTTGTGCAAAGTGGTCTCCTCCTTCTAGTTAAATGCCTAAAGCAGAAAACTAGCTATTGCGGATCTCAGGATGCCGGAGGAGTTTACCGTGAAAACCCCAGCTCAGGTACACAGACAACTTAGCAGTGTTGTGAGGTTCCCTAATGCCTGCCTTGCTTCCTCCTTACTGTGTGGAAGCACTGACTTGTCTTAATTACCCATAAAAGGAGGCTCCTTACACAAGCATCCCGAATCCCTGGGACCTAAATTTATTTCTGTTCTGTTCAAGAGCCACCATACCTAAAGAGGAAGTACTACTTTCTATGCAAACTCAGTTTCATTTGTTACTTTCTTCAAATACAGAACTGACACAGAATGCTTTCCAAAAATCCTCAAAACCCAGTATTTAAACCTTTTGTGTTTGCACATTCTGTGGAAGGTCTTGGTTTTATTTTACAAAACCAGCATTATGTAAGAAAATGCAGGCATTTAATCAACTAAAATCTTGAAAGTATTCAGGATGAGATGGCTTTGAAAGTTTTGATTTCAATCATATAAAGCAGTAAGTCTGAATACAATTAAGGATATTTTTGTATGCATTCGTTTACAAAATCCATATACTTTTTCAACGTACAAATACTTTTTATTATTGTGAGAAGCTACATATATTCCTTGTAATCATTGGAATGTATACATTCATATAATTAAGAAATTCCAGTTAATCACTAAATACATTACCTGGATAAAGCTGATAAGAACCACTGTGGTGCCACTTAATCAAATACTTCAAGCCATTCACTGAAAGCCATCCTTCTGAATCCATACCAAGCTCAGCCGTAACGTCCCGGAACCCATTGGGTGCAGATTAGCCTTACTGTGCTGCACATCGTTCCTCTGCAACTTTGGGATAAGGGGAGCTAACGCATTTCCCTCCAGCAATTCCTGGTAGTCTCTAACACCATTCTAAACAAATTGATTCTTTACCCTCATGGCTTCAAGCAGAGGAAAGCAATAGTATACTTAACACAAAGCATTATAAAATGCTACATAAATAATTTAAAGAAAAGACCTTTTGCCACTACTGCTAAAGGAAGTTGAATTATTTATGTTACAGTGGAACACAGCTACAGCAAGCATCCACTGCCAACACAACTGACAAATAAGTCATACACCTGTTAGAGGAAATAATCTATCTGTATTTATACTGTAAACAGTGTTTTGTTTTATTTTGGACTTCACTGCAGAGTTTTTGCTCTACCATCTTTAGTTACTTTTAAAAATCCAGCTTTACATTATTTATTACTGTAACATCAGATTCCTTTCAAAAAAGTCTTTAAGAATGCTTTTCCTTATGAAAAAAAGGAAAATTCTTCCCAGGTGATAAACACTAAAACCAAAAATCATCAGAAACTACAGCAAAATAGTATCTTAGAAAAAAAGGCATGCATATAGTATCTGTTATGCTTAAGGATTTGGAAATAAGGGACTTCAGCTTTGTGGAACCAGTCTCTGTAGGGAATAGCAGGTAAAAACTGTCTTAGATATTCTCAATAGCTGATACCTCCCCACCTGTCTGTCCAGGAGATGAATGTAATATACTTCTACTGTATGTCCTTTGGCCTTAAGGTTTGCTCTTTGTAGAGTGCCGTCTAGGTATCAATAGCCAAAGTCTGACATTAGCTGGGGACTATTGATCATCCCTGTGACAATTTAAATGGCACAGTGCTCAAAACATCAGCCACAGCCTGCACACTGTGTATGCACTCTCACTACTCCTACAATCAGCAGGAATGGACAGTTTCTGAGATGGGTAGTAGGAGAAACCCGCTCATTACAGGTCACTGTAGTAACATAAAATCATTTCTGCTATTACTAGAGCATAGGTGCTGCAGATTAACTGATCTATAGCAATGATCTGGCATCTAAGCAGTATTACAGTTAGCATTCTGATTGTCTGCAATTCATTAAGCAAAGAGTTGCTACTGGTGGGCATCTCTGGAAACAACACTAATTCGAGTACCTTTATCTTTTACATGTTACCTATCTTGCAAAGCCCAAGCGCACAGTTTTGGCTGATGAGAACATCCCAGCCTTGCACAACCTGAGTTACCATGTAAAATAAATGCAAAAAAAGGTTAGATGGTTTTAAGTGTCTGGCTGTAATGTAATAAAAACCATATGACATGAGGCTTCATTGACCTTGGAAAGAAAATGTACAGAGAGCTGCCATGCCTCTTACTATACTGCAGGGATGTATATAAATACATAATATTTACTTTTTACACAGAATTTCCCTTTCCAGACTAAAGCTTTGCAAGAGTATTTATAGCATCTAGTTATATGTACAAATACTAATATTAGGATTAAGATTTCATCTAGGAAGGGAAGTATGCACTGCTATACTAATGGAAATTTCTCTAATCTAGACATGCTCTAAAATGTGTAAATCTGTGGATCTATTAATGAATTAGTGAGATTAGTGAAGATAGGAAGATTTTCAATGCTGTGACATATTCAATAGAAGTGATAGCCTGAAAATGTAATTCAGACATGAATCAGAGCTTTTTACTCAATGAAGCTCTAAATGAAATTAATTGGGATTTTATTTCATTTCACTTTTTCTGGTTACAGTCTGTGGTTCTTTTTATTCCAATCCACTTTCTAAGTATTTAAGTATTGATTGAATATTACTCAGTATAGCTTGACTACCACTTTTAACATAAATTACACCCCCCCTCTTAAGTAGCATTTAACAATTAAGAGAGAGTCCATGTTAAATCTTCAGCACATGCTCAAAAATAGGTCATAAAACTCAGCAGAAAAATGCATATAACCTACTGTCTGTTCCTTCTCCCCTGAAGCCTATTTTGGATTGCATGACTTCACGGAACTCTGTAGAACTAACTGTGAAAACACAGTTACCTACAGAACTGAAATGAAACACAAATGTCATATTGTAAGAACTAAAAATAAGTCGGATCTTTAAAACACATTGTTAGCTGGAAGCATAAAAAGCTTGACATAACTATCATGTGAGTACTATCACAGTGATCTCCAAGTTTGGACAGGCAACAGAAGTAAAATAATTTTCACTAACACTGAACAAGAACCCACATGGAGATAAGTTGCAAGTACATTCTGCTTTAGCTAAAAAAGTTCAATCAAATTTTTTGCCCCGCAGGACCTGTAACTTAATTCAACCACATACAAAAACAAAAAAAGTCTGTGCTTTGTGTTGATTTTTATATCAAACAGGTAACATCTGGGGGGAAAAAAAACATATTTTTCCCACAAAAACATAGGCTTCATTTTAGAAATAGAAAGCAGATTAGACAGAATTATCTTCTGTTTCCTTCTTTTGTCACTTTGCAGACAAGGCAGATACAATATAAAGTCTATCTTGTCATCTAGAAGAAGTACTCTTACAGCAGTAGGCTGTGTCTGCAGTAGAGAAGGAAAATACCTGACAAAGTCAGCCAGCCATTGGAAAATGGCTCTGTCAAAAGGATCAAAACAGTAATGTTTCTCTCTTTAGTTTTGCAAGGAATCAGAAATTAGGACGTGATTGCTAATTCGGCATTTACATTTGCATGTAATATAAAATACATTTGCAAATATTTGCAAAAAATAATACGTTTGCATGTAATATAAAAAATTATCCTTATTATTCAAAATATTTCTTCAATTTCAATGGACTAATTAGAGCAACACAGTTTGTTCCCTTTTGATTTATTAAAATTGTCTTCTACTGTTGTCAAAAAATAGCAAACGTAGTAATATGTATGTAAGTGAGTTCTTCTGAAGGATCAAGTGAACCAGCTCCTGCCAAGCAAGACAAGTGAGAGAAGCCATCTCTTGTATACCCTAAACTATACAAATTCCTTTATTCCATTAAGGAAGCATACTTAAACTGTTTCCATTAACTTCAAAGGTTCAGAGAAATCATATTCCAATGTTTAACAAAGAGTGGATGTCCTTTAAAACATTAAAGCCATGTTAAAATCAAAACAAACAAGCCTAGGTGAGAGGAGGTTACTTAGAACTTGCTTAGAACTGCAAAAGGTCCATGCTGGGATTTTACAAATATCAAATTACTTACCCCCTTCTCAAAATGCATCACACTGTAAAGAAATTTCAACCTCCAGAAATGCACCAACACAGCTTACAACTTAGGAGCTGAAGTATATCTCTTCAAAAGCAAACAAGGTATGTAAAGGACAGTAAAACAGAGAAAAAGATTTTATCTACCATCCAATTATATGAAAGTCTACCAGCTCTGCCTCTTTATTAGTATGAATGAAGAAGCCTAGTTATAATAAAAACGTGCATATAGAGAGAGAAAAAAAAAAAAAAAAAAAAAGATGCAAATAAATCAGTGAAAGTATGTGAACATAATCCTGCAATATTTTCATTGGCCCAGTTCCCAAAGAAGTCACAAAGTTCTGCACCACTTTGGGCTCACATCTTGTAATATATCACCTTATTTACCACATATTATGTGGCTTAATGTGGAAAATTGATTCTTTTTTATTAGAAAAGTAAAAACAAGCTTCATCTTACCTCCATCAGAAACAGTTGCTGACTGCAATAAGAAAGAGAAAAATAAGTATTACTTAAGTTTCATGGCATTAGAAATCTCTGAGCTTCACATACTTGAAATGTTAGCTACTTTTACCATCTTATTAACAACAGATAACACGAGAGAGGAAAATCTAAAGAAACCAGCTGTTACTTTCTCACAGATGTTTCCTCCCCACCATGAAATTCACCCCAAGCCTTTTAACCCCTGTCCTGGAACTTGATCCCACTAGTATTAAGTGGACTAAGTACTTCCTGCTGTGAGTAGCTACACTACTTGTAAGAGTCCTTCTTAGACAGAGTCAATCAGTTGGTATATGTGAGAAAGCAGGTACCTTAAAACTGACCTGCGAAGACTTAAAATGAAAACAACACCTCGTATACTTTAGGTTGCTGCAATATCTGGAGCTATGTAAATCAAAATTAAAATCCTGTACTTACGTCAGATGACTCTGAAAACTTCCCCTGCCAATTACTTTTGACTTCCACTGAGCCAAAAAGATGTTGAATGTTTCCAATGAGATAGGTAAAAACTCTTCACCATCTCTACTAGTATTTTACATCAGATTTTCAAGGACAATTAGTCTTCTAGTGAAATGCTGACATTTATGTGCTTATCTAGCCTAACTTCTCACCTTTGATCACAAATCACCTCAAGGCAGCTAACATTTTTGTAAAACCAAGTAGGTGACCATTTCCCAAACATGTACTCTAGTGCTTGCACCTTGACACTCAACTGAGTGAAAGACTAGAAGGATATCTGATTTTCAGTTTTCAGTTTGTATTGCTTTTTAATGGCTATGAAAAATCATTATTATTTCAGTTTGCAGAATCTTTTCTTGGTGATTTAAAGTGTCTTTGAACCTTTAAGTAACTTTCTAAATAGTTAAATAAAACAGCTCTCTTATTTTGTACTGCTTTTTTTACAAGTTAGGAAAGAATGCCCTATAATATCTACAATTTCTTCAAGATGGAAAACACACAGGGAAAAAAAAAATACATATGTACACAGCTGAGGAGAAAAGCTATCCATCCATAGTTTGTCTTTATTTTCCAGCCTTGGCAACAAACGTTCCCTCTCCCCTTCAAAATTCACAAAAACTTAGTAATCCTTAAAAGAATAGTATCTTCTCCATTCTTTCTCTTTTTTATTTCACTGCAGGATCTCATACTGCTGTAAGATACTACTTGTTCTAAACTCTTGTGGCCATACCATTCACATCATCAACAGAGGATCTGATGTAATTTTTAACACAAGTATTCTGGAACTTTCAAAGTTTAAACTAGTCGCTATTGACATCATTCCTCTCGTCCTAGTTCAGATAAACACAAACACATCTTTCATGGAAAAGATTAAATAAATGATGGCATTTCTTGCTTAACTACACAAAAATAAATGTTTCTGAATCTGTGAATCATAATAATATAATCAAAAGCCCTCTCACTTGTTTCTAACAGTACTATTTCAGATATCAGAAGAGTACTTCTGTTTTGGGAACATTTCTTCAGTGAGGCTTAGGACATCTTTTCTACTTCTATTTTGCATGTAAACCTAACAAGCAAATTATGCATTCAAGAAGCCATAACTTAATTCTTGTTTGTAATTTAGAAAATGTAATTTACATTCCTGAAATATATTTTATAAATGATTTTTTTTAATTTCTCATTCACATACTGTACAGAACAGCTGATGAATAAACAATTTCAATGTCATTTCTCAAAGAATGTAGGATGACTCAAAGTAACAGTATCAGTTTACACATTAGACAGGAAAATATAAAAATACTTTCACATTATATACATTTTAGGAATGGTCATTTACTTCATCAGCTTGCAAGACTCTAGATTCAAACACCAAATACAAGTCTCATTCATGTTTTTTGAAAGGTATCAAGTAAAATTAATAGGATTCTCATGACAGTAAAAAGAATATTTACCCTACTTTTTTCAAAAACTGGGAATTTAACAATTGTAAAATATGATTTTAAAATAAAAACTGTGATTTCATATAAAAGCTCAAATATTACAGTAATAGTACCACTTAATTAAGTTCTATTAGATACATATTTTTAACCTCAATCCATGTAGCATAAGTTAATGCAGTGAGCTTTCTAAACACCATAGCTTGGTTTTGTGTGTTTATTTCAAATGCTTTGGCTAATGCACATTACATTACATGTATCAACATCTTAAAATCCCCCCAAGCAAGGCTTTGGTAATTATTATGTTTAAAGATTTTTTTTTTAAAAAAAAAAAAAGTACCCATAGGAAGAACAGAATTTCTTATCTAAATATAAACCACCTATTTCTGTGCTATTAAGATATTTCAAATTTCCTTTTGGCTTTGATATATTCTAACTATACAGTATTTTTTTTACATTACAGTGTCACTAAAACTACCCAGCATGTACCAAGCATTACCAGTTTACTTCTGTAGATCACAGAATAAAATTTATTTTAAGAACATATCTTTAAATTCATCTATGCAACTGAACTAAATTTACTGAATTCAACAAAATCAGCTAGAAACTAAAGGTTGTAATTATTGTGTAAGAATTCACAGTAGTATGTTCAAAACATGTTTGTGAGCACTTAGAAATCGTAATATAAACCTAACAGAAATTGCTTGCAGTCCACATTTAGACAAAGAAGTTTCTCTTCTACACTGTTCATCTGAAACTTGTCTAGATTTGTCCAAAGGTGTAAGTTGCAAGACCAGATTTTTTAAAATACTATGATGATCTTATTTTTACAATTCACTATATGTTTGGGGCTGTTTTTCATTCTTCATCACTTACACTTACCACCACTGGAGGCTCTTCAGGACAAAATTTGATCTACTATGAAGTTTGATTATTTGACGAAAATTAACACTTACCAAACACTTAGCAAATACCTATTAAGAACTACCTATTAAAAAGGCCTATGTTGCACAGTTTCTGTATGTAGCCATTTCTGAAAGATGAGGAAGGACATGGTATGACTTAAAAAGAAGTATTCAAGTATTTAATTCCAAATGACAGGACATATATGTATTAATTTTGTGAATGTACATATGAACTATCACCCAGAGAGAAAATCTAACTACATTCAACCTTCAAATCTTTCACAACCAGATAAGAACTTAAATTAATTCTTCAAATTACCCTGACTTCCAAAGTCATTTAAGAAAAAGCCCATGGTATATGCCAGGAGTCTGATGGTAGCAAATTAGCAAAATTTTAAAAATAAATCTAGTTTGGGAAAACTAAAATGTCTTCCAGTATATCCCTGTATGGGAACTCTGCTTGCTCACCTAGCTGGATTAGCAGCTGAGGTATACAGACACACACACCCCCCCACACAAAGGTGGAGGATGCAACTCTCTTCCCTAGACTTCAGGGCAAGATCTTGGTCCCTGTGATCCAAGTGAGGAGAGCTCCATGCCAGGGCCAGCAAGCTGAACGGTGGCTTCCCAGTTATCATTCACCATAAAAGATGTTCTAGGTCTCTGCAAACTGGCAAATGCTTCAGCATATAATAGATAGCATAAAGTTCTGATTAAGAGAAAACATGTCAAGTTTCTCTTTGTATCATCTCTCTTTGCTGGGTGGAAAAAACAGAAGGGCCCGTGATTTTTTTTTTATGTCATGTTCAGGATCTGCTTGCAACAAATCTAAAAGAGAATTAGCTTACAACAATTTACAGGGAGAACACTACTTTATGAGTACATAAGTTTTTTTTGCAGAATAGAAATACACAACATAATCTCTTGTACCAACAGGGTAAAAAGGGAGAGAGGGCATAAAAGAGAATAATTCATAAGGTTGAAACAGTCTGTATCTTTTAGCTTTCATGGTCTATAACCTGCTAGATGTGTGCACCACTGCATGAAACTAGTCTGATGACATCTTTCAGCTGACAGAAACTCTTATCCAGAAAATCCACTTAGTTCCATTTTACATGGATCAGGTCCCAGGAAACTATGTAAATACTAACAAAGTCTGCCATAATACCATGATGCAGAGAACAAAAAATACCCTACCCACATCCCAGACATTATATTGAGCAAATAAATCCATGTGTACAGACTACCCAGATAACACAATATAAAAATGTCCTTTTTCTCCACCTTAAGATTTGTCATTCAAGTTAAAGTCATGCTCGTGAGTAGAACAAAGGGAAAGATAGGGATGTCAGGATGGGTGACACATACTAGGAAACACCAGGCCTTAGCAATAAAATGGAGCAACATGAAATCATCTGTGCTAATGGAGTGTGGGTGAGTGCCTTCCTGAGTCAAAAAAGACCTATCTATTTCCAACTCCTTCTGAACATGCAGAAGGATAAAATCTGTGAGAGAGAAGATGTATTCCTCTCTCCTATCCTAACAATGACAAAAATCACAGACTAAATAAAAACATCTATTTCTTTCCTGGGCACCCAGAAAGATTCAGAGAAAAAGGAATTAAAAACTACCTGTGTCCTTTCTGAAGTACACATACCAAAGTACAGGTATCGACTTTTTGCTGCATCTGAAGAATTCCCTGACTGCAGCCCTCAGAATCTGTTAAGACTTATCTAGTACAATAGTATACTACATACTATTTTACAAAAGCCCTGCTAATTAAGTCTTTCATCTTGGAATAGCATACCTAGCTCCACCAACCTTCTAAGCTGATTTTCTCATATGATTTCAAGATACAAAATAAGTTTGGGAAACTTGTCATGTTCTTTAAGAAATGAAGCACTGAAAATTTAGTGACTGAATACAAATAGCCAACTTTCAAACATTCTGTCACTTAGCTCAGGGAAAGCCTAGCACTCAGTCGACTGTCTGCTTGCATCTAGCTTTGTTCAAACTCCTTATTAAATCACCTGAATCAACTTCTCCTTTTGCCAAGGTATGCATTATGAGCAGGTCCCTACATCTTCAGTCACATTGCTCTGGGACTTATGTTACATACATGTATTTTTATCCTTTTAAATACTTCACAGCATTAACACTGTATAAATACCATGAAC